TCTCACAACATCATATGATTCGCATAAAAATCCATACATGATATCTTTTGGTTCGGAGTAGGCTCCTTTGTGACCGGGTTAATGAGTGAAATTTGAAAATGATAACCCTCTTGTACTTTGCAATAGATCAATGGGTATTGCAGAGCGTCATAAAACTTGTGTGTATCGGCTACCCATTGCAACGTATCATCACGTGCTCGAAAGACAATGTCTCGTGAAGAAAATTGATCACCACTAATTATGGCTGCTATTTCGTTTATCAAAGGTGCATTGTAGCGCCTTTCATGATCTCCTCGAGGGGTCCGATCTGCGTGAATGACGACTTTATAATCCTCTTCACGTAGGTTTTCTAAAGCGGTTTTAAATGTTTTGACTAAAATGTTACGTTCATGCAAGAATCTTTGAATTTTGAACACTGTGTCTCTCTCAACTCCCTGGATAAATTGGCAGCGACGGTCTAACTCAATTTCTTCGTCACCCATAAAATATACTTGTAAAAATTTATGCTGTTCGTTTTCAGCTGGAAAAAGTAAACCTATTCTATGATAAATTTTCCCTTGCATCGTGAATGTAGGCGAAAATCCCGGCATTATTATTTCCCGGTCAACTCCGAAGGACGTCATTTGAAAGCATGAGTCACATTTACGGATCCTATTTAAAAAGCGCCGTGACTCATTAGCATCATATAAAAAGAGAGTTTTCAAAGGTTCTTCTGGTTCCCTAAGTAACGGAGGAGACACTTTGCCATTGGAACAGCACATGCCTGCGGTCTCATCTGTTCCACTTAAAAGCACTGCAAAATCGACACGCCTTGTCCATCCGTCCGGTAACTACTAACCTGTGATTTTTATAATCAATCAACGGATCATAATTGAATGCTGCGTCATTAAAAACCGACCAATTGTTTCTTTGAAAATTTTGTCGACGCTCAGCTTGGAGCTGTGCATTTGCATCTCTTCGCGCCTGTGTCTGTTCTGATGTTTCGGATGCCCTTATAGTAGATGGACGTTCAGCTTGCTCAATGAGTCTGTGTTGAGTTTCATTAGATGTTTCCGCGGCTCTTAAGGCGGCCTGACGTTCCGCTTGTTCGAATAGCCTTTGCTGACTTTGAGCAGATGTTTCAGTAGCGCTTAAAGTAGATTGACGCGGTCTCGCGCCGAACGCCGCCCCGTTAGTAGCGAAACGCTTTAGCTCCGTCGATTAAAATTCGTAAATGTGGTAAAAATTTGTACAAAGCATGTTATAAATCAAAAAACGCGGAATTTGTTGTTTTATAACGTGTGAAAACTGCATAAAGCAGCGATTTCGGTAAAAAAAGGTAATGTGAAAAAAGCGACCTAAAATTAATATTTTCTGGCCTACACCCGATTTTTGATGTAGGATGTATAGTGTTTATTAGTGAAATAGATGGATATATGTGAGCTTCGAGTGCATACCAAATCTAAACATTTTCCGAGCGAGAAAAACCGAATTTCCAACAGTTTTCCATAAACCACGTTGTGGGCCATCTTGGAAACCAGAAGCGTGCGGCTGGTTCTGAAGTCAGATTATGAAGGACAATTATTAGCTAAACTCTATTAGATTTACCCGCACCGTTTTAACAGAAATAGACTTTTCATCATATCTCATCAAGGTACTTTAATCTTTTAAGCTTAATATCCCTTGAAGGGATACACCTTTAATTCCGTTTTTGCGTGCGTCAATAAATAGTGCATATTATAAATTATACACCCTAAAAATTTCAGAATATTCCGCCTAGTAGTTAAAAAGTTGCAAACTTTTTTCAAAATTCAAAATGTAAAATTTTTCTGTTCAAAATAACGGTCTAACATAGTTCAACATTCACGTCATATTTGGAGGGTATATATAATATTCCCTGTTACCTAAACCCCCTCCCCACTCCTAGACTAAGTTATTGATTTCATATGGCTGAATACTGACTTTTATTTTTTTGTGTGAACTTTGAGATTAAAATGGCACCACCTTACAGTAGTACTCTTTAAACCAAAACATAAACCACTTATAGACATTTTTTTAAATAATTTATAATTTTTTTGTTACCAACTATCTATAAAGACTTATGTGTTTTATGTGAATATGGCGCCGTCGCAGGGAGAAACCCCTCCCCTCCCAGCCTCAGCTGATGAGGCAAAGGACTTAGACACCTTTCTTCATGTGTTGAATAAGCTCGCCAGCTGCATTAGCACAGCGGTCAATGAAGGCAAGAACGTGACCGCTGCTAATAAGCGATTAATTAGTCTAGCTGCGGAGGAAATTCACAAAAATATGCCCATATTTTTGGCCTCCTCATCTCCGCGTCCATCCATAGCTCACCAGCCTCTAACAGCGAGCTGAAGGAGGAAATTCTAGCATGTGTGAGGGAGGAGATCGCAGGCGTGAAAAAACTGGTCATGGCCAATAAACCGACACGTGGCGCCCACTGGGCCAACTGCCCCCCCGCAGCCCCCCCCCCTCAGTGTCCAAACCAGCGATTATAATTAGTCCTACGGTAGAAGTGAAATCTCGCCAGGATGCCGTTGAACTCTTCCAAAAAGAACATTAATTACCGCGCTTCCAACTACGCACCTGCCAGAATTCAGCCAGTTTCCAACAATAAGTTGAGGGTTGAATTCGACAACGAGACCCAGCTTAAAGACACCCTCACGCGGCTTCAGGGGAAAAGTGAGCTTAAAGCTGAACCAGTGCGAAAATTAAGACCTATGGTCATTCTTAAGGGAATCTCTAAGGATGTTCCAGCCGATGACTTAATTCAGTCCCTCAGTCGCCAAAATACAGTATTAACTGAACTGATTAACAATGGTGGTGGTGAGAACCTCAAGTTGAGGTTCAAACGTGAAAACAGAAACGCCAATTTGTACAACGCGGTATTGTTAGTAGAACCCAAACTATACAATAAAATGCTCGACATGGGTCGAATCAGTGTCGAATATCAGCGAGTCCACGTAGCTAGCTTTTCGCCATTCCTACAGTGCCACAATAGCCTGCAGTTCGGTCATACTAAATTAAGGTGCACTGCGGACCAAAATCTCTGCTCACATTGTGCGAGCACGGAGCATGATGTGGGCAAATGTCCCAATAAAGATAAGCCCAACAGCGTCAAATGCTACAACTGCCACACTCATAACACGCGCTTCAATACAAAAATGGATACCAAACACACGGCCAACTCAAACACCTGCCCACGATTGCGAGCCATGAGGGAGAAGATTAATAACCGTGTCGATTATGGATATACACCGTAAATTAAAAATTTTACAGTGTAACATCGACCGATCCAAGAATGCGCAACACGAGATTCTTCTCTCGTTCATGGCAGGTGATTATGATATCGCCCTCATCTCCGAGCCATACGTTGGCTCTGGAGATCAGTGATTGGAATTGACACATACCAGTTCTTCACGGGCAGCAGGGTTAAGGCTTGCATCCTGGCAAAACCAGGATGCCGTTCCATCTTGGGATTGTCTCAGTTTTCAACATCCAACTTCTGCGTTATCAAACTTACTACTGGAAATCGCAATGTTTATATTGCATCTATATATGTGGAACCAGGCAGGGACGAGCTAGCAACGCTCGATAAATTAGATGTCTTTCTTAAAGACACAGGTGATGTTCACAAGATAGTGGGGGGTGATCTCAATGGGTGGCACCCAATTTGGGGAAGCGGGAAAACTAACTTACGGGGTTACGAAATCATAGATATTATACACAGCAATGATATGTATGTATGTAACGTTGGCAACGTACTCACGTTTGAAACGGTCACCCACGGGCGAGATCGCTCTTCAATAATCGATCTCACATTTGTTTCTGGCTCCATCATTGATTAAGAAAGAAAGAAAGAAAGAAAAAACATTTATTCACGGTCTAATCACAATAGATACAAAACAAAGCAAGAAATTGGAATTAAACAGAGGATAAAACAATATTTCCCTAAATTAACAAAAATGTAAAAATAATACAAAATGAGTCTGTGTAGCAGCATAAGACCGTGAAATGGACAGGACTCAGTAAAAATCGAGATACAGAAACACGAATTGCTCTGATCCCGACACTGGTTTTCAGTCCGGCCCGCACTCCGACGTAACTCAGACGGCTGCCTCAATGCACATGCTATAAGGCGACGCGTAATATATAAAAAATATGTGTTTTTAAATTTTTATTCACATAAATAGTGGATATCATTAGTCTAGTGAAGGTAAGTACAAAATAGAATTAACGTTTTCCTTCTAAATATATCAATTTTATTTATTAAGAATGCGGAATAAACGTTGGCTAAAGAATAAAGGTAAGAAAATGATTCTCAGAAAAAGTAAATTTATTATATAAATATTTAAATAAAATAGTTTTATATACTATATAAAGTGAAAATTAAAATATCTACATAATTTATGGGACTGAGATTACTGACGTGTTGAAAGAACTTAACCTCCTACCAGTTTATTTTATAGATCGGTATTTTTTTGTTCCGAAAGTAAGTGTAACCTGTATTTGATTTTAAACCCATTAATTGTTTTCAGGTCACGCAGTGGAGGCGGGAGGTTATTCCAACATTTAGTGGCATTATATTTAAAACTACCTCTGAAAGCGGCCGACCGGTAGAAAGGATATACTAACTTGTAATTGGATGATCTGGTATTATACTGCTTATTTTGATCTTTAGACCAAATCAACTTATTATATAAATATAAAGGTTCTTTATTTTTAATAACTCCAAACAAAAGTGAGGCAAAGTGTAGTCGCCTGCGACAGTCCATTTTTAAAATATTAGCGTTATTAATGAAAGGGGTTACATGTGCACGTGATGGTACATTGAAACAAAAGCGTGCACAGGCATTCTGTACCCGATGTATTATTTGCTGTGTTCGAGATAATAATCCCCTCAATTATATAGCCAGGAGACTGCTTAGGCACTTTTGGACCACTTTTACCCGGGTGACTCACCGGACACCTTACCACGACATCACGAATTAAGATCTGACATGACCAACTCTCCTCAGTCCCATTACGACCCTCCCTTCACTCAGAAGGAGGTGTTGGAGTGTTTGAGACAAATGAATCCCAAAAAGGCTCCCGGACTCGACAACTTAACAGACATATGTTTACAGTTTGCGACAGACTATCCTAGACTCTTGACTGACATACTTAACCGCATCAAAATTACCCCGAAGCCGGGTAAGTCTGACTACAGCGCATTAGAGTCATTTCGTCCTATTGGCCTGATACCTGTGTTCGGCAAGCTGCTACAAAAACTGTTCATTAGAAGAGTCACATACCATGCACAACGAAATAATCTGTTAAACAAATTTCAGTTCGGTTTCCGGGAACAGACCAACACGTGCGAAGCTATAAACACTGCGCTCGATATAATAAGACAAGCGAAAAGTAATAAGCAACTAAGTATCGCTATATCTTTAGATATAAAAGCAGCCTTTGACAACGCTTGGTGGCCGGCACTTTTCCACCGATTGCGGCATATCCATTGTCCTAATAACATCTTTGGACTCATTCAGGATTATGTCCGCGATCGGGAGGTCATTCTCGACTATGCAGGGGGGCGGGCTCCACGTGCGGCCCTGTTCTCTGGAACATAATATTAGACGAATTACTCGACACCAAGCTTCCAGCGGGTTGCCACATACAGGCCTTTGCGGACGACGTCCTGCTGGTTGTTACGGCCGCGAGTGCGGGCAAACTGGAAAGCGCTGCCAACTTGGCTCTCCATCACATAGTCGAGTGGGGAAGAAGCGTCAAGTTGGCTTTCGGCCCTACCAAGACTAAGCTCATTGCCTTCACTCTTAAGGCTAAGACAGCCAGCATTAACATCGACGGACACCGACTTTGTTTTGTTCCAGAGGTGAAACATTTAGGAGCAATCCTCGATGAGAAATTGAATTTCGGTAAACATGTGAAACACGTTGTTAACAGGGCCGTGCGGATCTTCAACACGCTCTGCATGTACTCGAGACCCACTTGGGGAGCCCATCCTGAAAACATCAGCACCATCTACCAGCAGGTCATCGTGCCAACGATCACCTACGCTGCGGGAATTTGGGGCCACGTCGCTCAGAAAAGGTGCATCAGGAGGCCACTCGAGAGCATGCAGCGCGGGTTTGCCATCAAGGCTATTAGGGGATTCCGTATGGTCTCCACAGCCGCGGCACTAGCGTTAGCCCAATTCGTACCTCTGGACCTGAAAGTCCGAGAAGTCTGCGCTGTGAAAAGGGCTCGGCTCCGGGGTATCCTGACCACATCCCCAGCGATATTCCGTTAGAAAAACCCACCCCCGTTTCCGAGCTACTTCATCCCGCCCAACGTATCTCCCTAACGAACAGAACCTATACAAATTACCTATCAATTCAACCTCTACATGGACAGACCACACATTGTATATTTACGGATGGAAGTAAACAGGAGGATGGTGCAGTGGGGGCCGCATTTGTTGGATATCTTCCAAAAAATCTTGATGAAATAGCCTACACCAAAAAATTTAAACTGCATTACACATGCACAGTGTTCCAAGCCGAGCTGTTTGCCATTTTACAGGCATGCAGGTTGATCAGAGAACACAAATATGCGCACACAATCATTTACACTGACTCACTCTCATCCATACATGCCATACAGAACAGAAGCAATACGCACCCCATTATCACACAAATACACCAAATTATTCATGAACACAGTAAAATAGGCATCATAGAGTTGGGATGGGTCAAGGGTCACTCAGGAATAGCTGGTAATGAGGCAGCAGATATTGCTGCGAATGCCGGCTCAAAGTTACACAGACGGCCTGATTACTCGGCCTATCCCATTTCGTACCTTAAACAAATCATCAGAACTCAAAACCGTGCAACCTGGCAAGCTAGGTATTATAGCGCAGAACAGGGCCAACATACCAAACGTCTGCTGCCGACACTGGAGGATATCGAGAGGCTACGCACCCTCACCAAACCAAGTTTTTACCTCACCCAGGTGCTCACCGACCACGGTTTCCACAAATATTATTTATGCCGTTTTAAAATAACCGACAATAATTATTGCCCCTGCAACAATTACACCCCACAGACGCTGGAGCATCTTATAGAGCATTGCCCTGCATTTTCAGTACAAAGACTTAGTCATGTGATGAGGTGTGAAAATTTAAGAACCTCTCCGTTTAACCTGACTTAATGAAGAAGGAATCCCTTCTGGATTCCTTCATGCAATTTGTTAATAGCATCATTAAAAACCTCAAAAACTTTAATAAAAGCTGTACATATGTAAATAGAAACAACTAGTTATTAAGTACTTTTTCTTTAAACTAATCATTAAAATAAATTAAAATAAAAAATAAAAATCATTCATAGTTATTACATATGTCATTTTAATTTTTTTTGGACTAAGATTACCCCTCATACTCTTAATATTTTACCTCATCGTTAAAACAAAACATTTGGCTATGTTTAGGAATAAGATTACCTCTAGTTTTATTTTATATCATTTTGTCCATAGTAATGTAAGAATACCATTTTGTTTTATTTTGTTGCTCATGGAACATAGACTTCTCATAGTCTTCTTTAAATTTTCTACTTGGCTGTGTCATTATACCATGTTATTTTGTGCCTAGAATTAACCCGGCGAGCATAAGGTTAAAAAAAGTTACATCGAGAATGTGGTAGGATGGGACATACCCATAATTTAATGTACCATATTTAATGATTTCTTATATTTACGCGAACACTATACATGATTAAAACTACTTTTACGGATTTTATCGCGTTTATTTTTACTTTTTATTTACTTTTATTTTTAATTGCCGACGTTTCGGGAGCTTTCCAGTCCCTCGTAACCATGGGTGCTGGAAAGCGCCCGAAACGTCGGGAATTAAAAATAAAAGTAAATAAAAAGTAAAAATAAACGCGATAAAATCCGTAAAATTAGTTTTAATCATGTACCATATTTAAGTTCTTATTATTATTATTTTTACCTTGATGATTTTATTATGTAAAATAATGAATGATTTAATAGAATTAAATGAAACAAGTTCTTAATTGTGAAATTATTATTATACAATCATGTTTTTCATAAACTTTGTAATTAAAGAAACAAAAGTTTAAGGACTTCCAAAAATTTATAATTTAATAAAAATATTATTATTTGGAGTGTAAATCAACCTAAAATTAAAACATAATGAGATCCTCCTTGTAAAAAACTTATTATTAATTTTTTTTTTAATTAAAAATTATGGTTAATCACCACTCTCGAAATCAGCACAATTTTCGCAAATAAATTTTGCGTGCTCCATACATTTGTGCTTGGCACAAGCATTCCAGGAATATTTGGTTTTTCTATCCTCCTTGTATGGACAATCCTGACATCTGACATGTCGCCCGGGTATATTCACATGTCTAGGCGAGGGCTCACCGAACTGTTTTAAGATTCGCTGGCGGATGTGGCTTAGAATATGTTTTTTTGATTTTCTTGATTGTAGGTGTTCGTAAATCACGAATTAAAAAAAAATTATTAATCACGAAAAAATAAAATTACGAATAAATTCCGTTCTCTTTATTGTGACGTTTTTGTTTGCTCGATATAAATATAATGCAAGCATTGATAGCTGCCATGTTCAAGACACCATAGAATAAAGTCGTAGCCCATCGGTTACTGTTGTGACTAACATAACACAGTATAAATGAATGAACAGTAAATTTATATACTAAAATCATCAAAGAAAAAGCTAATAAAGCAATCATAATTCATGATCAAAACATTACGTAAAATAAAATACGTCAAAAATGAGGCAGGGTATAATATACCCGAGACAGGTTTGCCCACGAATATACGGCCGGTGTCCCACGCCACACTGCGATCACGCCACTAACCCGCCCCGCTCGCCCAGCACTCCAGCTACTGAGCGAGTTAGAGTTTCCAAGCGAGGATTTTCAAAAATACACCACCTTGAAATTTTATCAGGGTGTGTACCCTGGCTCATGCTCGCCGGGTTAAGATTACACTTGATTTATTTTACACTCATTTTATTGTTAATAACATTGTTATTATGTTATTTTGTTATATCAATGTTATTATTGTGTTTAGTATTAAGATTATCCTGTGTGTTTATTCCATTTAAATTTAATTTTATTCGAATTTAACTGTCTTAATAACAATTTGTATATGTTTAGACATAAGAATAATTTATATGTTTTACTTTGTCAATTTCATTGTCACTAAATTATTCCGTCATTTTGTGTTTAGATTTAACATTATTCTGTGTATTTATTTCCTTTGAGTTTACTCTCTTTATGCTACTCTGTACTCTGTCCGTATTTAGTGATAAGACTACACTATTCCACTTTTGTTTTATATTATAAGATTATTTAACCAGTTTGTCGTCATTGTACTAATTCATTACACTAGAGACATTATATAACAGCTCTAGTTTAAAGTTAAGACAATTTTTTGTTTTTAGTTTTTATTTTAAATATCATTTCATTATTTTCATTTTATTGTTATCCCGTTTTTAGTCTAACGGGGTGCGCGGCATGCGCGAGTCTATAAATAACAAAACGTCAATGTAAATCAAACCATTATTTTCTCCGAACAACACCCATGTATAATATGTAAAAAAAAATTGTTGAGAATTGTAGTAATATGAGGAGAAGGAAAGCGCGTTATGTATCAAATCGCAGAAACGCACAACCAGCTCCGTACGTGTAATAGTTATATTAAAAAAAAATGTTTAAAACAAAGCGAAACTTATCTGTGGAATCTGACAATATACTCCCGTCGGTGGGGGTGTACCCTCCGGCGGAAATCATTAAAAAAAAAAGTAGATTGACGATCTGCCCGTTCAAGACGCCTTTGCTGACTTTAATCAGGTGTTTCAGTAGCTCTTAAAGTAGCTTGACGCTCTTCCTGTTCAAGACTCCTTTGCTGACTTTGAGAAGGTGTTTCAGAAGCTCTTAAAGTAACTTGACGCTCTGCCTGTTCAAGACGCCTTTCCTGACTTTGAGAAGGTGTTTCGGAAGCTCTTAAAGCAGCCTGACGCTCTGTCTATTCAAGATGCCTTTGCTGACGTTGAGAAGGTGTCTCGGATGCTCTAAAAGCAGCCTGACGCTCTGCTTGTTCTTGCGTTCTCAGTTCAGCATCTTCTAAAGATTCTAGCGATCGAGCTAATCTTTTCGCTTGTCTTTGAGAAGATACTCTTGAAAGGCTAGACTTACGTTTGCGAGGAATTATGAAGTAACAAAAAACCTGTTTATAAAAAAAACGTTAAAATATCTAAAAGGAATAAAATTTCCTTTTAAATATTTTTTTTAAAAGCAAATCCAAAATATCTAAAAGGAATAAATATTACTTTTAAATATTTTTTAAAATCAAAACAAGAAAACCAATTCAAGGCACAACACGAATCCGAAAACGATAGCCAAAAAAAAATCGAATCAACTTAAACCACATTACAAAACAAATCTCAGAAAACCGAAATCGAAAGCAGTAGTCAATATAAATATAACCAACGAAAAAAGAAGTAAGTGTATAGGTACCATATACACTATCTATACTATTAATATTCCTTTGAAATATTGTTAAACAACCTAAAACAACGAAAACCAATTCACGATTCTAAATAAACAAAATCCAAAATCAAAGCCAGAGTCTAAATATGTATAAAGGAATACCAACCAAATCAACAAAACCGATCCAAGAAAATACACAAATCCGAAAATGAAAACCAATATAAATCCATTCAACCTTAACCAAATCACAAAGCAAATAACAAACAACCGAAATCGAAAGCAGGTAGTCGAATAAGCTACGAAATAGAAACAATTTAAGCGTATAGGTACCGTATGCACTATAAGTTGACGCGCGGCTCAACGGCGGGAGTTAAGTACATGTCAGGAAACATTTCGTTACCGCGTTTTAAAAACCTAGTAACGACATCTAGCGGAATCAATTTAAACTATGTATACGTTAGTTAATAAGAACTCTCAAAAAATATTTTTCTTATAATTTTGCACAATTTTTCTTATTGTAATACCGATTCATTCATAACCACATATAAGAACTGTATTCATTTCCGTTCAATAAATATTACTAAGGCTTATTAATAAGGCTTACTAAGAACTGTTTCTACCACAGATAAGTAATAGTTAAGGGTGAAAGCGTGGCAGGTGGTCATAGTATTTATGATCCATACTTATAATCACGCCTGTAATCCTTGCGGGGTAGGCAGAGCATCAACGGATTACTTAATATCGTCTGCGAGAAAATCAGCTGGTGAATTTTAAG